TTCAATTAACCCCACATGTTTATCAGCCAGGTTGGCACAGTGAACTTTTATCTCACCAGAGTTCAAAAGCATCAATTCTTGGGTCTTCTGTGGGGTACCAGCCTCCACAATCAAACGGGTCCAAGGGCTGTTTGTGTCACTGAGGGGTGAGATTAAAGAGACCTCAGACTAGATAAAGAAGGCAGGGGCTCACCTCCGAGACCATCATGACTTCAGGAACCAGATCCACACAGAGAAAATATATTTCCAACTCAGGAGGTGTGCAAGCCCCCCTAATTACAGGTAAGCACATACATAACAAAGGGGCTGTACCCGAACCCCAAAGGTCCCCGAGAACAGAGGAGGAGTAACCCACCACCAGGGCAGGGCGGGGGGAGTGGCTGTCCTCAGAGCCTAGAGAGCAATAACCATGTCTGCTCCTACAGTTACAGCTGCGGCTCCATAGCCGTCAGCCATGTGCGTGTCAGGGATGGAATCAGGCCTGGTTCCTTAGTGACCGGACCCTGACACATGTAACGGGGTCAAGTGCAGGAACAAAGGACAGAGACTGCTTGTCCAAAGGCATTAATGATTAATAAGCCCCTTCAGGCCTGGCTGCCTTCTGCCCCTTCTTAGTTGCAGGTGGGGGGAGGGGGAGATACCAAACAACCAAGAGACTGCCCACACCTCCACCCCCAACACACACACACACACACACCCCGACCCCTATGATGCTGCACCTCAGGGTGCACCTCCACCCTAAGAACTGAGCCATCTTCTGACCTCGTTTCACCCACAGCCCCACAGCCCTGACCTCCCCTCCCCCAGGCCCAGGCCCAACAGTGCCACAGGTCTCTGTCCGGCAGCAGCATTGGCCAGTTCAAATCCACCTCAGAACAGGTCCGGTCATCTGCTTGGGAAAGCTGCCAGCCAGGAATTCCCCATGGAGCCGGTCCACTCCACACCTTGGGCCACAGAGTCAGCATCCACCCTATGGCAAGCACCAAATGTTGCTACGCTGTGCCAGGCACCAAGCAGCGGGGCCCTGCCCAGACACACAACAGGGCACAGTCCTGGCGTGTCTGAGGGAGAAAGACACGGCCCTGGAAGCTGCGGGTCAGCTGACTGCCCATTCTGCCCTCGAGGGCAGGAGGGGCGGCACCTGGCAGTGGGAGGGTGGAGGGAGAGAGGGGCAGGCCCTGTCAGAGTCACTGTGTGAACCTGCGCCTCTCAGGTGCCCCCTCCTCACCTCCCCAGGGCCCTGGCGACTGCAGGCTGGAGCTGCCCCTGGTGGCCACAGCTCCGTCTCCACTGGCCTCTGTTCCGGTGCACTTCTGCCAGAAGTTAGGCTGGCCTCCCACTTGCACTAACGGCTGTCCATTAGTGTATTGCCATTGAGGCTGTGTGTGTGTCGAGCAGGGTTCTCAGTGGCCGCATTTTTCAGAACACAATTGCCAGGCCTTTCTGCTGAGGCACTTGCCAAGGCCATTGGCATGGAAGGTTGGGGGTGGGGGTCCGGCCAACCTTCCATCAGAGGCCCAGGAGAAGGGCGGAGATGAAGCCTGCCACCTGCCCAGCCCCGAGAATGTTGCAGGGGAAGGTTTCTGCTTTGGCTGTGGGAACTGGGAGAGAGGAGAGCAGGCAGGATTGGTCCTGGGCGCCAATGAGCTCCAGTGAGCTCTGGGATGGGGCCTGGCAGAAGATGGGACTTCCCTTTCTTTTGGGTCCTTTGGAGATGGGGGCTAGGCTGAACCACAGGACTGGCTGCATGACTGGCCACTGATGCTGCTTGCTGACCCATCCATCTATCCATCACCCATCCATCCATCACCCATCCATCTATCCATCACCCATCCATTTATCACCCATCCATCAATCCATCACCCATCCATCCATCACCCATCCATCTATCCATCACCCATCC